GGCTCCTGCCCGCGGCGGCGGAACGAGCACCCGCATGAGAGAAGTGCAGGAAAAAGCACAAGCCCAGCGTCATTTTTCCCTCCTCCACCTTCCCAGCTTCCAGCCTAACCTCCAGCCTCCATGCACGTCTCCCATACCTTGGGGTTTAGCTCTGCTTTTGGACTTCATAGCTCCTTGCCCCGAGAGGAAAAGAACCCAACTCGTACGCCGCGTGACAGAAGTAACTCCGCAAGACCTTCACTGGGTGCCTCATAGTTCTCCTCTTACGAGAAACAGGCAGTAATCACTTCCCTAGTCTTCTTCTCCATACCATTCATGATTTTACACACTTCTGTCACATCCCCCTCACTCATCGGTTCTCCAAGCTGAGTCCTGTTTAACTCGTTTTTGTGCAGAAATTACTCCCCACTGCTGACTACCCTCGCCACCCCCTTCATGCTCGTTCAAAGCTCTTTGTCCAAGGTGGCACACTGAAATGTGTCTGCACTAGGAGACACGTCTAGAGGCACAGTGCTGACTTTGAATCTTTTTTTTTTTTCCCCCATGCAATTAAAAAAACCCTCTATTTGCCACTTTGGCCACTGCAGAGCCGAGAAGGACGAGCGCCCTGCACGCAGTACCCGCAGGTCTCTTTCCCAAGGGACAACAGCAGCTCACCCCTGCGTAGGGCTGAGCTGTGGTTCGTGTCTTTCCATTCCCATCCGTTTGTATTTAGTCGATACTGAATTTAACTGCCCTTTTACTGCCTGTTGCCCAAGATTTTCAACCTTTCTGGAGCTCCTCGCAGCCAGCTGTACATGTGACTGTACTGAACGACATCGTGGTGTCAGCAAACCACCACCCACCTACTCGACCTGTTTTTCTTGGTCCTGTCTGGGTGTGCGAACAGCTGAGAGAAACAGAGAACGTGCCTTGCTGCAGGACACGAAAAGAGGAAGTTTTGCCCGACTTGGCAACGAGAGGCTGAGAGAGGATTTAACGGGAAGGAGGAATGAGCGAGGATTTTAGCTGCAGGACAGCGTTACTGCAGGAACAAACGGACAGACGCCTGGCTAGAAACCGGTGAATTGATCCGTCCCATTCATTTGAGGACTGGAGCCAAGATGCTCCATTCACTCAGAAGACGGAGGGCGTCAGTCCCTGCAAGGGATGATACGAGATGGACTGACTCCAGCAGAGAGACGACACCCAGCGACCAGCACTCTTACTTCCCATCTTCTGAGTCAGTCAAGGCTGCTCACGGCAGCTTGAACGCTGGTGCCCTGATCTGGAGGTCACAAGACACGAGCTGCTTCCCAGCCTCACTGCGGGCCCCCGGCCACAGGCGGGGCTTCGGCTGCCCGCCAAAGCAAGCGAAATGCTGCTCTTCCCCCGCCGTTACTCGCTGCCTGGAGCACAACGCTTCGAGATCCACCAGAACACGCCGCCCCCGGTAAGAGCTACGCGCGACTGCTCCGTCACTCAGAGACTCAGCTCACCTTTCCGACGACTCCTTCAGCGCCTTCAGCTCGGCTGTCTGCTTCTCTCTGGCCAGCTCCGTTATCTTGGCAACTTGCTGCTCAAGGGAGGAAAACCAGATCAAAACCCAGCGAACCCCGACGAGGCCCAGCACTCCGCCCGCATCTAACGACCACCGGCTTCAGCTTTCTCCCTCCCTGCCCTGAATTCCAGGGCCCAGCTAATCCGTGAGGCTTCGTGCAAACCCACGCCCCCGTCCCAGCGGCCTGACTCCACCAAGGCTCCAAGGGCTGCTCTGAGCCGTCCCGCGCCTCCAGGTGACCTTTAGGGACCGTTTCCCAGCTCTCTGTGCAGGAGGCAGCACCAGATTCACCGCCCTTGTGGGTGGGGGGGAAAGAGCCGGGGAGCTTACCTTCCAACACCGGGGGCTGGCAAGGGGACGGGCCTTGTGCCTGGTGGAAACCAAGTTCTGTGGGAACTCCTGGCAGAGGAGTGGCAGGGCAGTGGGACCTGCCTGCACGGCTGCCTGCCGGGAGACAGCCTGGAAGGGAAAACCCTGCCTGCTGGGCTGCGTGCTGGGCAGCCAGAACTCAAGGGGTTTATTTCCTTTCTGGAGCCTTGCCCGCTACTTTTTGTAGACTTTGACAGAGCTGTGAGACAAGGATGTTTTATTCCTTTGGCTTCTCTCTGGTCATACGCATGATTTCCAGGTAAGCGCGCTCTCAAAAGGCAGTTTGGGGTTTTTTTCCCCCCTCAGGGCTGGTACGGGCTAGACCAGCCAGTCTCGTGGACAGCTTGCAAGGTGTTTGTCAAGCCAAAGTGCACCATGAACCTAAGATTTAAGACACGTGATGCAAACTCCTTTGGAAAATAACAGTAGGAAAAGGCCTCCAAGTCCTGGAACCATCCCCCTTTCACTGAACAGCCGCCGTACGCCCCGTTTATCATCTGCGCTTCGGCTCCAGGCCTTACGGTGCCTCTTGCCGGGGTTTGCTTAAGGTGGGGGGGTCTGAGGGTTGGGGGGTCTGAGGGTGGGGGAGACAGGATGCGCTTGCAGGACTCACTGGCGGCACCTTACCAAGTCAAACAGCAAAACGCTTTCCAGATTCCAAGAGGAAGGAGCTCAGCCCTGCTGGCAGGGCTGAGGGGGGCTCCTGGCAGCACTGTCCCTCGCCAGGCCGTCCTTTCCTCAGCACAGTGGCAACGGCAAAGCACCAAGTGGGGCTGTTCCGTTCCCACGCGCCGCCTGTCCTGGCTGAGC